TGCAGGGTAAACATGGATTGATATTGCATAACCTAATAAAACATTATATATAATTTGTGTGTTGAAACTTATCATTCAATTTTTTTAATTGAGTATTTTCAACAAACAAACAAAAAGATTCAAAAAGGTTATTTTTGTTCTTGAAATCTAAGTGACTGAGTGTCAAATGATTGTATTTATCCACTTGCAGCATCTGGAATTCTGGAAATAGGAAAGTCCTTATCTATACTTCTTGAGATATGCCAAAAAGAATACAAAGTTGGGGCCTATAATAGTATTCTCCACCTTAGACCCAAGCTCCTATTCTTCTTCAAATCTATTAGACCAACGATGACAACTTCTTCTCCTCTATCATCATTAAGCCATTTTAAAATCATCCATGGAGTGAGTTGGTGACCTTTTCCATTGGTGTTCTGAAGACTCTCATGGCTCGTACGCACCTTCTAAACTTCAGTTTCTCTCAGCTCCACTTTCTTCATAGAATACCGATTTTGGTTTCTCAGTTGGCGAGCTAATTTTGCTGCATAGTTTAAAATTTTAACAGGTTATTAACTTGAAGCGGGTGATTAAAATTAAGAATATGTGAGTGGATTCTAGCAGCTTATACGCTTACAGAGTTACGGTGAGATGTACCGCTCCGAGCTGTTTCCTCTCGGGTGCCAGTGGTGGTGGACTTCTCCTCATGTATAGTATTGGGTTGATTTTAGTTACATTAGATACAACAAATTCTTAAGAAACACTTTGCTGAAACAGTAGTACAACTAATGGGTGGCCTGAAACATTTTTTTTATTTTAGATGAAGGTAAGTGTGGATAACTTTTGGAATTCATTAAACATCTTTTGGTGACCATGCAGTCAGTGTAAGTAAACGTACACAAATGAGATTAACCAGCTTTCAAAGAAACGTACACAAACGAACCTCACGAAACAGAGTATTCTTGTGCCGCAAGTTGTTTTACAGCACAAATATTTTGATCGCAGAAAGTGTGATATGTTGTGTGACCTTAGATAAGACTCCGTTGAATCTGGGATCAAGTGTATTTTACTCTAACCGTTTTTCTATGATGTATCAGTAATATGATGAGAATGAGTTGGTATACTTTTCTATCTGTAAAAAGTCGCGAAGGAATTGCAAGAAATTTTTCTCTCTTACCAGTTGTTTGGGTTAACAAAATCAATAAAAGGAAATGAACACATGTTTCTTGTAGTGGACGTATGGTTTAAAAGGAAGGCTACATGCACTTTAAAGCAGGTCAAAAGAGCTAAAGTTAGATTTTATCAATTCATAAAACTATGAAAAGACATTATACAATGAATCAGTTAGCAGGTGTAACTATTTATTGGACTCTAGTACAATTGTTCGTCTAATACAATTAAAAAGTGGAAGCAAACATATAATCTTTGAAAGAGGCTTAATAGTAAATAGTTAAAGTAAAGGAAAGTCATATGAAATACAGAGCCATATAGCTCAAGTACCACTTATTTATAAAGAATTTTATTAACGAAAACAATAAAAAGCAGCTGTGAAAGTCAGCAACATTCTCTTAGGCTCCAATACTCTGAAGCTTAACCACTGTGAACAGGTTTTTTTATAGGTCCAGTGGCTATTTTTGGGTTTCCTTCCACCATGATATGAGTAATTGGTCTGCTTGGTTTTGACAGAGGCCCCTCTTCAAAGACTTTCAGAAGTTATCTCTATATACAGCTTCAGCTGCTGGCCTATCATAGGCGGTGTTCTCATCACCTGCATGTGGAGAAGTAAGGATATATAAGACAACAATGCTTGGACTGCTTAAACGTAAATATACAGAGAGACTACCTACTCTGCAAAATCAGGAAGGGGGAACGCTGGCTGCTATCATGACTTGAGACACTCTTGCAACATGAAAATTGGTTAGCTTGTTCATCCCAGCATCGAAAGCCACAAATAGAGCAGAGTCAGATGCATCTGCTAATGCCATCTCCACCCGGTACTTGTCATCAAAGAGAGAGGGAGACGACTGGTAAGGTGTTGGGTTTATGCTGTTTTTTTCTTGTGGGCATATTTAAATCATGTATAAAACCGATTGCATCATAGATTACCTTATAACGCCTTACATATTCTTTTCATCATGACAGGCTCCACACACGATGGATGAAAGCCCATGCTGAAGTTTCCAGGAACATGAAATATAGCACCAGCCTTTTGATATAGTTTCAATCATCACCATGTTTTTGTATTAAGAAGTACGTACCACAACTTATAAAGATCATCTCATGAATTGAGGCACAATTCTGAAGCTTTCCAACCTCGACCAAACACACCAAAAGCAAAAGCAACACTCCTTATTCTAGTACATTTCACCATCCTTGTTGATGTTGCCAGCATCCTAGAAGCAGAGCATCCGACAACCTCTTGAGGCGAACGGCTGAGGCGAGGAACCGACCCGTCACGCAGAGGAAACACGATATATCTTCATTTCGGCTGGTTGCAGAGTCTGTCAAAACCCTAAGTCCTAGACGTCAGTGTATGAGAAGCGGATCCCATACACAACATGCTGCGTGGAAGCTCATAGATAACTGCCCAGTGTTTTCCAAAAAACCCAATCGATCAAAGGGAAAGTTTAACAAAACACAGAGTTTCAAAGCAGAGGGACAGGTGTCAATATGTGGTCACCCTAATTGATGACGTGAACGGACGAAAAAGAAGGAAACTCTTCTTTATAATAAAATATTTTGATTGGTTTAATATCAACCCACAATATGGGAAACCAATAAATTACAAACAATTAAAAATTATTGATTTATCATAAATATTATATAGTGCAAATAGAAAACAAATATCATATAGATGCAATGTGCAACTAATCTCATGCTCTAAAAGAAATTGATATGTTTATTCTATTAAAATAAATATTTGTGTGGATATACGGATCAAACTCAATTGATACTTTAAAATGAGTCATGTTATAATCTTAACTAGAACTTAACTATAGAACTTGATCCGTACGTTCGTGCGAGTATTTACTTTCACTTTTATATATAAAAATATTAGTTCAATGTTTATTAGTTAATACTTTAAATATTTACCATATTTTTTTTTTATAAACACCGTAGTGAAATAGTGTACATGTTGTAAAAAATATTGACTTGTGCGCCATATTAAACTTTCGACAAACATTAAACCATTGATATGTTTGAGTACTATGTATCTCTTTTGACACAAATTTTTTCTCAAATATAATAATATTTTAAATATTTTGATTATATATAGATCATATGGCAAGATTTAGATACATCAGAAAATGAATATTTCAGTATAACATTAAATATTTCATTACAAACATCAATATATTTTATTGTTTGAATTATTTAGTGGTAATGATTAAACATATATTTTTAAAAATTAAAAGCTAAATGTGTATACTTTATATGATACTTGAGAGTTATTATATTATACTATTAAAAATGTTTTTAAACTAGAATTTTTCTAAAATTTAAATAAATCATTTTAGAAAATATGTCGATCACAAATATTTTAGCTAAATTTGATTTATATAATGATTTAATAAATAGAAAAAGAAAATAATTAGTTAAAGTTAGGATTATTTAATCTTTCATTGGCATTGACTTATAAATAAATTGTAAATTTTAGGGTGAATTCATATTTGTACTTTTATTTTAATATTATAGATGTCTTATAAAAGAAGCTTAAAAAATTGATTACGTAAAGTAAAAATGTTATTAAAACCCAAGATTGAAAAAGAACCTGAAAAATGTACTAATCAAAATATCATTTTATTTTCAAAATATAAATTAAAATTTACTTTATTAAAAAAGAGTCATTGTTTTTATCTACCGTACCAAAGTCATAGTAGGTTTATTTCATTAGTTATATAATATGACCTAATATTCAATAAAAATATTAATAATAAATCTGTTGTAACCATAAAATTGAATTTTATTTTTAGTTATAGCAAAATCTGTTAAGCAAAAATCTAAAAAAATCCTACTAAAATTTTAAAATATGTTTGTTAAATAAAGCATTAATTAATTTCGTAATTAATGATATAATATTATTTTAAATTAATATTAATTAAGTATTATATAAAACAAAAATAAATAAAAAACATATTCTATTTATAATTTTTTATAGTTTATATTTTTAATAGAAGTATTATATAAATTAAATATGAGACATAATATCAAATTAGTAAATTAGCCAATATTTTTAAAATAAATTCATTTAAATTAATTATTATCTACCATTAAAACGGGTTAAATTTGTTAGCTATGTAATATTCTTATAAAAATGAAGTTATTAACATATGTTAAATTTTTACTTCTACAACTATATATTTTCAAAAAATATATTTTAAAGAAGAATATTATTTGATTATTTCTGATTATAAAAAAATATTTATATATACTCTACTTTTATAAGTTTTGTTATAGTCTATATTATATTAAAATAGAATTATTGTATAAATTAAATATGACAAATTATATTATATTGATAAAGTAACCTATTTATTTTTAAAAATACTTTCATTTATATAAATTATTATCTACATTAAAACGGGTTAAAGTTTGTTAACCATGTAATATTCTTATACAAAAATAATGTTATTAATATATGCTAATTTTTTTATTCTACAACTATTAATTTCTAAAAGAATATTTTAAAAGTGATTTATTATTTGATTATTTCAGATTATAGATTTATTGTACCTAACTTAAAAATGTAATAACAATTAATAAAAAGTAAAATACATAAACAAATCATAATATATTAATAAGGTAATAAGAAAACTAAACAATAGAATTAAAGAGTTACATAATATATAAAATTAAATATAAATTATATATCTAAAATATTTATGATAATATTAAAGTTAAATATTTATAAAATAAAAAATATATCCGCACTATCCAATGATCAAAGATCTGGTTATTCTAGTTTTACTACTCCAAAGTCCATGATCTGGAAAAAGATGACTAAATAAATAAGTTGATAAATGTCAGAAATAAATGTGGCAGCCGGTGGATTGGGGTTGATACCCTCTGAGAGAATCAGAAGAGCGCAACTGCACCTTGACTCCACACCTCACACGTGGCTTAAACAGCCACGTGTTCACAAGCCCAAACATAAGCCTAGCCCTTAACTTCAGGTCCACGTCGAACCCATAAACACCAGAGCGCCGATCATCTTCAAATTTCTCCCGACCGTGACCACTGAGCAACACTAGATTCTGGCCTTGGAACACCGTTCCAACGACAACCGTGGACTTGTGTCCCTGGTAGAACGACGGCACGGACGCTGCTGCTAACCAGTTGTTGTCGTAATAAACCCTAGCGTCGAACCTGTCGTAGTGGATTCCGAGACGAGAGTTAGAGTTTCGGATGGAGAAAACGACTGAGAGATTGTAATGGAGGTTGTTGTTGTTGTCTGGACCAAAACTGAACTGCGTTAGCTCTGCGTCGTCGACTTGGAACTTGACGGCATTGTGTCGGAGCATGGCCCATACGATGAATGATACTGTGCAGACGATGATGACTAGGGTGACGAGGGAGTTGATGACGGAAGCGATAACGGCCCACAAGATTTTTAAGATGCTTTCGAAGCAACCGAGAGGGCCACACATCGTGATCGTACGATAACAATGACGTAAACAGATCAATAAATATTACAAGAGCAAAGAAACGAGAGCCTATCTCAGTTTAACTAGTTTGCTTTATTCACGGTTTCCTTACAATAACAAAATAGAGAAATTGTGTTTCAAAAAAAAACAAAATAGAGAAATCACAAGTTTTTCTTAAGAACCAAAACCTTAACTATGGATTCTCTTGTTCTCTCTCCCTATTTACCTAACTCTCCTATTTGTATCTTCTTTCTCGAATGATTATTATCTTCACCTATGGCCTCCTTTTATAATAGATCACACATACCTTTTCATTTATGACCTGCGTCACATACTTTCCTAAACTCAATTAAACGTTGATCAGAAAAGGAAATTAATAGGTTGTTTCCTTTTCGTTTTGATGCAGACTCAATAAACAAATTCTTCGGCCCATGTTTACTCGCATGATCCTCATTCCTGGGTGCTTTTCTCAAGTCTTCTCCTTAGTTATTCTTGGGTTTATCCCATAGGATGAACATTTAGTTCATCAACCAATAGAATTGTGTTATTTCATATTTGATATCTTTAAAAAAAAAATCTTGTTAAACTATATTATGTTTTTAAAAATAATAATAATAATATTTAAAAAACAAAAAAAAGTTCTAAAAAAACAAAATATTTTAACACTAAACCCTAAACGCTAAACCCTGGGTAAATCATAAACACTTTGGAAAAATTTTAAACATTAATACTAACCAATTATACTATTTTTTATTTATTTTTATCTTTTTATTCAAAAACATAATATAATGTAACAATATTTTGTTTTCATTTTAAAGATATATTAAAATATTTTTTAAATTGTTTTTTTGCAATTATTACTTTTATTTTTTTTTATTTTATAAAAATATTTTTACTTTAATATAATGTTAATATATTATAATAGTTGGTTGATATTTACTTTGACTTTTATATTAATTTATAATTTTTATGTATAATTTATATTAATAATATTATATTATTTTAGTTATATATAATTTTAGATATATTATATTTAGTCAGTTTTATCATATGGAAATATATATATATATATATATATATATATATATTGGATTCTATCTATTTCTCTGAATTCAACTATAAACTTTTTTATTCTAAATGTCTTAATTTTTTGATTAATTGTTTTATTTATATTTATGTTGGTTGTTATCTTATAAATATAAGTATATCTTAGTAAGATTATGTATTTTAATATTTATTGTGCTTAAAAGGAAAAAAATAAAAACTAAAGTGTCTGATTCTAAATTACATACATAAGTAATAATAATTTTTTGGAAGCTTATGAACACATATCAATATTTACAATTATTAAATGTTTTATAAATTTTAAATAATTTTTGCCTTAGATTAATTGGATGGTAAACTGAAATTTATTTTAAATAATTTTAAAAATATGGAATTCTGATTTGCTTAAGTATTTTGATTATGGTTATATTAAATTCCACAAGCACAAAAACAGAAAATTAAACATCAAAAGAGTTATTAAGAAAACAGATAATTTTAACTATTAAAATATAATATATATATCTCGTTAAATTATATAGTGTGTGATATTTTAAAAGAATTGTAGTTATTTGATCAAAAGATGTTTTAAATTTATTTTTATTTTGTTTTTAATATCTCTTAAAATATGCAGTAAGAATGTGATTGTTTTTGAGATATATTAAATTATATAAGTAAAATATAATTTATATTTTTTGCTGTAACTGTAAGATATTATAATCAAATAAATACACTAATTATAATTTTTTTTGTCAATTAAACATATATCAGTTTATGTTACTTAATTATTTTTTGTAACATCTAATAAAATATATAGATATATACAAAAACTAATTACTTTGAAAATATATATTTATTGTTTAAATTATTTTTTTAAAGAAAAATATTTTTTTTCTAATATCAAGATTATTTCTATGAACTTTTTTTATGAAAACACATAATATACAAATATTATTTTTCATCTAAGAAGATATAGATATAAAGTATAATTACTTAAAAAGTATAATTTATGTTATATAAACTTTTCTTTTTTATGAATCTATATTATATATATACTTATTTTTCGTTTTTAGATAGTTTTTTAAATTTTATAAATATTTCTTTTTTGTTTTATATTGTTATTTGGAAGATTTTAAAAAGGAAATAATAATATTTAAAACGTGAGCGCGACACCTAAGAAAGTGATTTCTCATATAATATTATAGAGATTTCATATTTGATATCTTTTAAGAAATTCTTAAAGAAACAAAATCTTGTTAAATTGTATTATGTTTTTAAAATAAAAATAATAATAGTATTTAAAAACACAAAAAAAAATATTTTAACACTAAAACACTAAACCCTAAACTATAATCCTAAACGCTAAACCTTGGGTAAATCATAAACCCTTTGGAAAAATTGTAAACATTAAATCAAAAAAATTAATACTAACCAATTATACTACTTTTTATTTATGTTTATCTTTTTATTTAAAAAATAATATAATGTAACAATATTTTGTTTTCATTTTAAAGATATATTAAAAGATTTTTTTTGAATTGTTTTTTGCGATTATTACTGTTTTTTCTTTATTTTACAAACATAATATAATATTAAAATATTTTTTTCCTTTTTAATATTATTGTTATTTTTTATTTTAAAAATATAATATAACTTAGTAAGATTTTGTTTCTTTGTTAAAAAAATATCAAATATAAAATAACATCATCCTATTGGTTGGTGAACCTAGAGATTCATCCTAGGAGGTGAACCCAAGAATAAATCAACCAATAGAATTGTGTTATTTCATATTGAGTTATTCTTGGGTTCATCCCCTAGGATGAACCTTTAGGTTCATCAACGAATAGAATTGTGTTATTTCATATTTGATATCTTTTAAAAAAAAAACAAATCTTGTTAAATTATATTATATTTTTAAAATAATAATAATACTTAAAAAACATAAAAAAAATATAAAAAAGAATATATTTTAACACTAAAACACTGAACCCTAAACTCTAATCCTAAACCCTAAATCCTTGGATAAATCATAAACCCTTTGAAAAATCTTAAAAATTAAACCAAAAAAGTTAATACTAACCAATTATACTATTTTGATTTATTTTTATCTTTTTATTTAAAAAATAATATAATGTAACAATATTTTGTTTTCATTTTATAGATATATTAAAATATTATTTTAAAAATTGTTTTTTTTACAATTATTACTGTTTTCATTTTATTTTTATTTATTTATTTTAAAAACATAATATAATGTAAAAATATTTTTTTAAAGAATTTTTTTCGTTTTTTTATTATTATTGTTATTTTTCTTTTTTTATTTAAAAATATAATATAACTTAATAAAATTTTGTTTTTTTTTAAAAGATATCAAATATAAAATAAAATCATCCTATTGGTTGGTGAAAGGTTCACCATAGGGTTCACGGATTTGAACCGAAGAATAAATCCATGAATAAATCTTATGCATATAGACAATTTAAAGAAACTCCATAACAAAGGTTAAATCACAATTTATTAGAAAAATCGAAAACAGCCATCATAGTAGTCCATAAAGAGAAAGAGTCTTTGGGTTTTATTCTCTTGCAGAGTAGCACAAGAACCAAGTCTTGTCAAAGTGAACCAATGAAAACAACAACAATTCAACAAACATCAGAGAAGAACGACTCTCCATATATACATCGCTCTTAAAAGCTTCAAGCAGGGGACCACACACGGATGGTTAACTCTTTTTTCTTAAAAGTTTCTAGTAACCTCCTTGGATAAACGCGTTTAAGCGGTTAAGCTCCTCACGATGCTCAGTCACCACTGCACGGACCACATCTCCTATAGACACCATTCCCACCATACCCTTGTCTTTTATCACTGGAATGTGCCTAATCCGGTTATCTGTACATTAAACCGAGATTTTTACAAACCGCAAAAGTTTGCACCTTTAAAATGGAAGAGATAATATGTTATTCAGTTTTCTGATTTTCACCTGTCATTAGCTGCATAGCCCGCAAGACTTTAGTCTCAGGTGTCACGGTAATAAGCTTATTCTGCAATTACCAAACCACAGATCTATTCAATTTCAATCCTCAGAAAGCAAGTAAATTTTTTTAATAAATTGATTCAATACCTCTTCAGTCATAATGTCTCCAACTTTTGTTGATTTGGATGATCTCCCTTGCACTATGATCTTCCGCAAATAATCTTAAAAGAATCTCAACGTCAAAAACACACAGAACAAAAAAAATCTTTCACTGACAGTAAATTTTTGACTTACCTCTCTCTGTAATGATACCAGCAAGAGACTGTTGCTCACCAGGTTTCACAACCACTAAGGCACCAACATTGTGTTGTGTCATCTACAACCAAAACACAAACATTAAAACACCCAAAAATCTGAACATTTTTTTTTATAAAAAAAGGCAAATGGATTTAACATACGGATTTAACAGCGTCATAAACAGAGTCATCAGTAGTACACCAAAGCCAAGATCCATCAGCACTTTTGCCTTTTGCGTTCATAACGTCAGAGATGGTTGTGCTCTCGAATCCATGCTCCTCCATACGAGAAGACTGCGTTGACTCGGAGCGTGAACCAAACACAACACAAGGCTGAACCGCCGGGTTAATCACACGGAGATGTTGCAGCAGAGAGGCTTTCACCACGTTTCCACCGGACACAAACGAACGAATCGCAGCTTGCATCTTTCCCTACATAATTTAAATCAACCAAGTTTTTACATCTTATAACAATAATCAATCATCAGGATCACAAAAGTCAAATAAGCTAAAAGTGGAAACTTAACTTCCTTAATAAGATTGCTTATACATAAAAGGAAACGCTATAGAGATAGAGATTCAGACCTGAGATTGGTTACAGAAGAAGGATTAGATCGAAATGGGAAGGTGAAGAACCGTAGAGTATGAGCAAGAGACAGGTGAGTTGACAAGAGAGAGTTGAGTGGGAGAGTTTGAAGGGTTCTTTATTATGGATAATCATCAAAAATATAAATAACCTTTTTCCGACAGTGACACACTGACGACTTGTGTCCTTTTTTATCCTTAAAAATAGTGATGACTGTTCATTCAATGATTCTGTCTTATCCTCACATTATTAATGGGCCCACTATTATCTTTGACCTAAGGCCCATTGTAATAGGCCCAAACTAAAATGGTTTAGTACAATCTAATCTGTTTGCTGTTTGGTTTATCTAGTCAGGTCTAATCTGGTAGTGGAGTGTTATTTCAGTTAGGTGTGTTATTGGCTTCTACATTTTAATGGATTTGAAAGTTCTGACCAAATCTATTGTTACTGGTCTATAAATTTAAAATTCATATTCAAATTCATTGTTACTGGTTCTATGATAAGCTTCAATATTTTGGTTGATAGTCTGTATTCTGTAATAAAACTTTTATTTTGATAAAACAAATCTTGTAAGAGTGAAAAGAAAATGGACTCATCATCCTAACTTCTTGTTTCAATATCTCAAGATTCAGTCGAGACGACGTAGAAGATACTCAACTTCAACGTCTTTGGTGAGAGGGATAAGCCATTCTCCATAGATGCGAGAGACGAGCGACGGATCCACTTTGTAGTTCTCGCTCTCATCACCAGAGACGCACTTCACCTCTTGTCCAAACGTTTCTGCTTTCTTCTCAACTCTCTTCTTAACCATTTCTTCCACTTTCTCAAACGTCAAAAGCTTCATCAATGCCTCTGTGTCCTACAAAAAGGTTTTTATAAAAACACAAAAACTTTTGGTCTCATCAATTCATAGAAAAGCCAGATTCATATTTTGTTAAACACTAGTTTTGTACCTTAGAGCGAATGGCAGGTTCGTAATCATGAGGAGCATCTCTGAATTTGACCTCAGCAACAAATTTACCATAGTGAATCCTCCTCGAAATAGCCTTACAAAAGATCAAATTTATCAGCAAATCAGATTATTAAAACAAACATACATATGATTTTGTGGATATCAAAGAAGATGTCCTTACTTGTAAGCAAGCAAGATCACAAGCAGCAGTTGATGCATAGTTGCCATGATCACCAGGTTTGACAAAAAAAGGAAGCAATTCTTTAAAGTAAATATCCCAAAGGCGTTTGTTTATGTTAACAGACGAAGCCTTAGGGTGCAGAACCTAGACAAGAGGACAAACCAAAAAGTACTGATAAGAGTTCAAAGGATAATGTTTCGAAGACTTTTACTACTAACATACCTGTGGATATTTGTGTGAAGGAAAAACCGAGTGAGGAATGTTGTCAAGGAAGAAAGGATTCTCTTCCGGGTTATCGTATCTTCCTACCTAATACACACACATACATTGAGACACTATCAAGTGAACCAATCAAAAAACAAAAACATTTAGACACAATAAGACATTCAGACAACAACAATAAAAAAACGAAGATGTTAAAACAGACATAACCAAACGTTACACTAATGTCTGTAACTAGTTCATAGGAACATTTAGGCTCATATCTACAGAAAAAACCTCTGAGATAAATATTATCAGGCAACATGACATTCAGACAAAAAAAAAAACTAACCAAATGATGCAATTATGTCTGAAACTATTTTTTTTTTTTTGGGAAAAAGGATGAGTTTGAATGGGATGTGAAACATTACTACCTTAGCTTGGATGGTTTCCATTTCTCTGACGAAGAACTCAGTCAGAGAAGAGGAGTTTCCTGAATCTAGGCAGCGAGATTCCTCGAATGAAGGTTTATTGAGTGGGAACTTAGCTCTCTCGATCAAGCTAAAGACGATGGTGTCTTCTTGTCTGATCAACGATTCCCTGATCGAGTCAAGACTCAGTTGTACATCGGAACTCCCAGAAACCGAGTTAGACTCGACGACTCTTACCATGTCCCCCTTCAAATCACGAGATCAAAAACGCTGTCGTAACCAAACAAAAGGCCACAGAAACTAGAGATAGAGAATTGTGAAATGGATGCTTCTTCTTCTTTTCCTTCTTACTCCTTCTCGCTGTTGACTTTTGAGTCGCCTTTTCAAAGAAAAAAACAATAAGAAATTACGAAGATGCAACTGGGCTGATCTACGGCGCATTGTTTTAAGGCCCATCTCGAAACAAAAACATTGTATAGGCCCATTGAACATAATTAAAAAATAAATATTTTATTTTTATATTTATATAATTTTTTAGAAAAACAAATATTTTTATCTTTTGCGATCGCCCGCAACAGCAAACTTTAGCTGAAACCAGGTTTTAAATTTTAGAGAATCAAAATAATTTGAAGCTGTTTATAGTGTTTTCTATGATTGTTACAAAACGCTAACAATTTCTACCAACCATAAAAATTACGAGTCAGACCCTTAGTATTTGATTGTTGTCTCTGCTTGAAGGAGTTGTGATCATATTTTCTTCTTTTTTTTGTTAAAAAAGTAAAGCGTTTAAGCATTAAACTAGTGCATGGGAAACAACATTTTTGAATCTGTAGAATAGATATGTTCTGAGAAAATCTAAATTCTACTATCTTTTTGTGTATCAGTGTCATAGATTTTGTACTTGAAAACTGGTGAATCTGTGACTGATCTTTTAAAGCGCATATGGTCCCTCGACAATACTTAACAACCATAAATCTAGGAAGAAAATGTAGAGTTTCAAAATTGTATTTTTATGAAACATTATTACTAGCAAACTGTAACGAATTTGAAAAAAATACATGGCAAATCCATTAATTAACATTCAGCTTATTCTTCACAAGATTACATACACTTATTGCTTTCTACTAGTCGATGAGGAACAACAAGAAGTGTGTCCGTATTGAGAGTTGGAACACCAAAACTCTTCACCTAGAGAGAGGGTGACGAAGAGTTTGAGAATTGGAGGTGATTCTAGAAGGTTTTGGAATATGTTCAGAGACTATATAAGCAGTGTCTTTCCACCAAGAAGCTTCAGCCTCCTTCACATGAAGCCTTTTCTTTGCATCTTCCAATGCACTCTGCAGCTCATTTATCTCCTCTTCTTGTCTTGTCTCCATAAGCTCATGTAGCCTTCTCTCCAACTCATAAGGACACACTCCTTGTTGCTCCTCCAGTACTGGTCCTGAAGACATGTGTCTGAACATCATTCCTTCTGAATCTTCACTATTCTCTGGAACCTGATCCTGTTAACCGTTTAACAATAACAGTCCATTAGAGAAGAAAGTCAAGATCAATGGTATGTGGGAGCTAATGGTTTCAAGTTGAGACAGAGAATCAAAATTTTAAATCACTTAAGATTTAGGGAAAGTGAAGTCAACTAGTTTACCTTGAGCTTAGGATAGTTACCATAGTGGTCCTGACCAATCTGAAGAAGTTCAAACTCAGCTTCAAGTTCAGCTTCAAGCTGATCCATTTCTCCTCCAAAATCCTCATCCCCTCCCTTACATACATAATGTTTCAAAGAACCTTCACGTCCAACAAACAAAGATGTATCCAACAACTGTGGAGAGTAATAGTGATCAATAGAAGATTCTGGACCATCCACAACATCACTGGTGGTGGAATAAACAGAGGTTTCACACAGCTCTTGTTTTCGACTCATTTCATCATTGTGAAACTCTAATAATTTCTCTATATTGTCGCGTATCTTAATAAACTCTTGATGTTTTCGTCTCATCTCATCGTTTTGACATTCAAGAAGCTTCTCTAGATCGTTCCTTAGATCAACTATCTTGTGAACCTCTTCTCTACCAGTAGCAATCAGGTGTAGCAGATAACAACTCACTCCAATACTGAACAAAAACTCACTTCTCTGCAATTCTAAAGACAACAAAAAAAAACGATATTATAATAAATGGACTGATCGATCAATTAATCAAAGCATTAAAATAGTATACAGTCTAGAACTAACATATCAATAAGCTATACGCACATATGTTAATAGAGATGTTTGTGAATAAGCATTAATGAAAATTGTTACCGTTCCTTGGCGGAGAATCTGAAAATTGGCGACGATCATCCTCCGAGAAGTTTCTGATCATTACCGAGTCAGAGTCTCTCACATGGCTTTCAGCCATATCATTCTTCTTCTTTTTCCCTTTGATCTTCTCCTTTGAGTTAAACCACCGAGACATGGCTCTTCGTGGGGAAGGACACCTGATTCGCATGCATCCTGCTCTCATTTCTCCCCCGCCGTCCATTGGAGAATTCAAACTTTAGAGAGAAGATAAATGAATTTGAAAAATAGAGAGATAAAAGGAGATTTATAAATAAGGATTGAAGAGAGAGAGAGAGAGAGAGATGTATTAATGAGAATCACGAGAGAAACAAAAGTGTATTCTTTCGACTTTGATCTATACATTACAACATGCGTTTTGTTTTTTGTTTTGTCTTTGCGAGGGAAACTTTTGAATGTTTGGAAACTCTTTTAATGCTATATCTATCACCTCTCCTTTTCTTCAATTATCTACTTATAAAACCTAGGCACAATAATTGGCATGATACAAAAAAATCTATTATCAATTTTTTAAAACTTAAATTCACTATTTTCTTTTTCATAAATTTTTAAAATATGTAGAAATGTATATAATTACAATTAATTAGGGTCAAAGACTATATGTGAAGATCCAAAAAGAGGAACTGGGAATGGTTTTAGCCATAAATAGCAATCGAGCAACGTTGACTAAAAGAAATGGCATTGAAATAAACACAAATCCAGTGGCATTGTCTTCACTGCAGACCATTAATGGATTTTACCAAAGACCATCATAAATTCTACAAAAAAGTGGTTGTTTATATTTTTGAATAATGATGTTCAATTTTAAATTTGAATTCCTTTCACCTGTTACTTTCAAATCAAGAAGAACTGCATTTATTTATTTTTTCTAAATAAAAATGATTGTTATTGATAACAAAAAACTAAAACCAAAATATTACAGGTGTGATCAATAAAATTACACACAAAAACACAAAGAGCAAAATCGTCTAGATTTGCTGTCTTATGAAGGGTTAGAGAGAAGATGACATTTGGCTTATGACCTCCAATGTTGCTTTCGTCTTCGTCAAATGATCCATCTATGTTTTGTTCAAAACCACTCTTATTATCATTCATCTTACATTATTCAATAATATAAAATACTTATTTTAAAAAGTTGGGTTTCCATGTAAGCTCTTACCAGTTCTTTCTCGCGTGTGTCCTGCAAAATAGGAAAAAATAAAGATAAAGCTGTAAGTCGTTTACTAGAGATAACGTGCTTGCCAAGAAACTAAAAATGGATATTTCATATCTTTACCCTAATCTGAACCTCTTGCTTAAGAGCGCCTATGAGTCTGAACAAGTAGTCATAGTTTGATTTGTGAGGCTCCTGCAACTCATCACGAACCATACAATAATCATTACCATCATCATAAACCACCAATCATCTGAGATAAAAACGGTATTTACCTCAATGTTGTCCGGAAGAGGAAGGCCTTCAAAGACCTGAGGAGGCTCTTGAAGCTGAAGGATCTGACTCGGCTCGCTAGGCAAAGAAACTGTCCAAGAAGGTGGATTAGATATCCCTACTGACGCAAAACCGTGCTCTGTTCTGTTCTCCCACATTATCTGCTGTTGAGTTGATGATCCAACGCTTATGTTTTGATGTAGTGGCTGTTAAAAAAGCAAACACACAAGTATAAACCTAAAGCCAAGCGAAAAAGCAAGAAGTTTCCAGCATTTTAGTTATTACCCTTGGGACATTTTCGACAGTGTAAGAAACAAACTTGGGCTCTGAGAAGCTTGGAGGTTCAAGAACAGCATATGAGCCTTCGTTTTCATAGCTTCTAGAACCCTAAAAATGCAAGAAAATAAAAAATATAATCAGTTAGAAAAGCTGCAGAGCAGGTTAAAGAGTGCTAAGAGAAGTAACCTGTGAGAGATTTGAAGCACTGAAGATTGTACAAAGCTTTCCAGATTCTACTTCATGGTCTACTGAGTACCCGCGTAGCATGTTTTCCATGTCTTCTCGATCTGATCTTGCATCAGGGCCTTCATGTGATCTTATAATCATCTAAGATGGTAAAACAAACACATTATACAATCACAAAATGAAACCATCATTACAAAGTTACCAAAGTTTTACACACTTTACCTTTAAGTTTGATTGTTTTAGAAAACTCTCAGTGCAATCAGCTCCCCAAAGAAGTCCCTTGTAATTACTCTCGCTAAGACCATCAGCCATCCATGGACATGACCATAAAACATGGTTAATAAGATTTATATCCCCATCATTGTCCTCACCAACTTCTCTCCTCCTCTCAATCTTGTCAAGTTCTTCTAAGGAACCCAACAATAAAGACTGATTCGTCGTGCTATCTTCATGTACCACCCGAGAGGAACTTTGAAAGAGACCTCCATGAGTTGTGTAGACGCTATCTGATATTACCGATGCCAAAGGTAACGTTTTGAAACAATCTATACACTTGGAGTATAGCACTGCACCCTGCTCAGCGTATCTGTCACATGTTTCTTTCAAGAAACCAAGCTCTTCTGCAGAAACTCTTGTCTCTGAGCTTCCTCTAAGTAAATATACCCTCTCAGGCATCAAAATCTGTAGTTAGAAGCAACAAGTATCAACATGCCTAAAACTTCATGAATCTAATTAAAAAGAAGAAAAAAAAAACTACATAAGTACCTTCCAAGCTAAGAGAACCAAGAACACTTCTAGACTCCAAGAGCCACGACCAATGTAATTACCACTGAACACAAACCATTGGTTCTCTGAAGGCCTTCCTGATTGATCAAAGATCTTGAGCAGATCATGTAACTGTCCATGGAGATCTCCAACCACAATCACTCTAGAACTCTCACCACCACAACAACTGATTCTAACACAATTAGCTTCTTTGTCTAAAATCTGAGCAGCACAATCCACCAGAGAAACAGCCACAGAATATGGCAACGTCGAAGGGAACTCAGAAGAAACAGAGTTCTTCCACGTGAACTGGTTCAACAAACCCATTAAACTCTCAACCCATTCAGAAGTTAACTGAGACTCCAGAGGCCATGAGATTGGCTGTTCCAAAACAATGTCACTGAAGCCGACAGAATCATCCCCATTCCCTAAATAAATCTCCATCTCCATTGGCTCAGTCATGTCATCAAGTTCGTATTTTCTACTACACATCCCTTGCACACTTGTTATCATCCTCGTCACATGTCCCTTCTCCTGATCATCCAATGTCTCATAGTGAAACCCACGAAGTGACTTCAAAGAACGGTCTGCATTACTCACCTGCACACAAAACTCCAACTTTCAAAGTTTTCACCGAACAAAAATCTCTACATATCCATATGTTTCTGTTACTATTAGAATCGCACCGTATTTGTACCGCAGTTATCTAGCATGTTACCATTCAGAGCCAAAATTTAAATGTTTACACACAATTTCACAATTTCATTACTTACCAGTTGCTTTTAGACCAAACAAAAATCTCTACATATACCTAAGAATATATATGTTTTTGTTATAAAGTTTAAAAATTTGCGCACAATTTCATTACTTACCACTTGCTTTAAAACAGAACAGAGTATTCGGGTAACACTGTTTTCCGGATCCTGAAGCAAAACAAAAAAAACATAACTTTAAGAAACTGAATAAAGACAGAGAGAGAGACAAACATGGAGATTAAATCTGGTTTTTTACTTTAAGAAAGTCACGATCAGCACCACGTCTAGCTATCTCTTTCAACGTAAGCAAAGTACGCAACTGCTTATAGCTTTTCATCCTCGTCGTTTTAACCGCACTTAGCTTCAAGAACGCGTATTTGCAAGCTTCAAGCTTTGCGTCTAAAACCCTTTTCGAGATTTCTACACAAATCAACAACCTTTCGATTTACATAACAGAGACAGAGAGGCGATTTCAATTGATTGAGGATAAAAACAGATCTTTACGATTACCTGGAGACGGCATATTGATAAGTAGCGGTGTGATTGACGGAGAAAGTAAGAAGAGTTCGGCGAGGTTGTCCGGCGATTACAGCCGCCGCGCAACACCGAGAGGGAGGGGGAGGGACGAGCGTTTTGGTGTTAACTTCCTGCCGGTTCTAGGTCAAGGAAACCACGCGCATTTCGCTGCTTAGAAACCGAAAAGGATAGTTTGTTATTTTTATAAATTATGGGCCCGCCGGGCCCTTATATTTAAGGCCCAATTAAAGTAACAAAAACCGATAATTAAATACTTTAACCGATCTATACCAAAACAGCTTTACCGAACCGGGACGGTTAAAGTTTATGATTTCTTTTTGACCAGACCAAAACAGAACTATCTTCTGTCTGTTCTTCCGACTGTTGTCGCCGCAAAAAGCCATTCTCATTCTCCTCCGACACCTTAACCAATGGAAGCAACTGATCTTTCTTTCTCAAAGAGTATCCTCTTCTCTCCGTCACGTTCCAATCTCCCCTCCTCCACAAACCGCTCCGTCTCTTACTTGCCACCAGGAAGCAAACCACGCTCTCTTCCACCGCTGCGTTCAATGAGCAGCAACGATGAAGACACAACCTCCAAGGAAACAAAGCTATGGGGTGGAAGGTTCGAAGAGAGTGTCACAGAGAAAGTTGAGAAATTCACTGAGTCAATATCTTTTGACAAAGTTCTTTACAAGCAAGACATTATGGGCAGCAAAGCTCACGCCACAATGCTAGCTCACCAGGTTAATTTACTCTTTTACCCTTCATTGTATCATCTGTAAATTCATAATCTTGATCTTTTGCTGTTTACAGGGTCTTATAACTGATAGCGACAGGGATAGCATTTTGGGAGGACTTGATGAGATTGAGAGGAAGATTGAAAGAGATCAATTTGAATGGAGGACTGATAGAGAGGATGTGCATATGAACATTGAAGCTGCTCTTACTGATCTCATTGGTGAACCTGCTAAGAAACTACACACGGCTCGCAGCAGAAATGATCAGGTTGCTACTGATTTCAGGCTTTGGTGTCGTGATGCTATTGATACGATTATTGTCAAGATTAAGCATCTTCAGACGGCTTTAGTTCAACTGGCTTTGAAGAATGAGGGGTTGATTGTTCCGGGTTATACTCATCTTCAGAGAGCTCAGCCTGTTTTGCTCCCACATGTTCTCTTAACTTATGTTGAGCAGGTAAGGAAGTCTTTCTTTGTTATTTGCATTGGTTGTCTGTTCTTACATTGACTGAGATCTCTCCAACAAGCTGTGTTCATGAATGGCAGCTTGAACGTGATGCTGGTCGTTATATTGACTGTCGAGAGAGGCTAAATTTCTGTCCACTAGGAGCTTGTGCATTGGCTGGAACTGGTCTACCTATTGATAGGTTCATGACTGCAAGTGCTCTTGGGTTTACCGAACCAATGAGAAACAGGTTTGTTCCTAATTCTCGTTTTTATTACATCAACTCTCTTTGAGTACTTACTACATTCGGGTGTTTTGGTCGGGTTCGGGTCGGTTCTTTTTGGATCCAGGTTTTCGGGTCTTTGCCATTTGGACTCAGCTAGATACTTGAAAATTGTCGGTTCGGATTGGGTCTATGTCTATTCAAGTTGGTTCTTTTCAGTTCCGGTTCTTTTGGTTTCGAGTCGGGTATTTTCGGATCAGTTTTGGTTCAGATTTTCGGTTCTGGATAAAATGTCCATGCCTAATGCTTACATTATTACTTCTTGCTCTCTGGTCTTGTGAGTTCCTCATTTAATAAGTTCTTTTCCTCCTTTATTTCAACTAGCATCGATGCAGTTTCAGACCGAGATTTTGTGTTGGAGTTTCTATATGCAAACTCCAACACAGCCATTCATCTATCACGTCTTGGAGAAGAGTGGGTACTCTGGGCGTCTGAGGAGTTCGGTTTCATGACTCCAAGCGATTCAGTCTCAACGGGAAGCAGTATAATGCCACAGAAGAAGAATCCAGACCCAATGGAGCTTGTCAGAGGAAAATCTGCTCGCGTCATTGGCGACCTGGTCACTGTCCTAACACTATGCAAGGGACTTCCCCTTGCTTACAACCGAGATTTTCAAGAAGATAAAGAACCTATGTTCGATAGCACCAAAACAATAATGGGAATGATCGATGTTTCTGCGGAGTTTGCTCAGAATGTCACATTCAACGAAGAGAGAATCAAGAGAAGTCTCCCTGCTGGACACCTTGATGCTACTACTCTTGCTGATTACCTTGTGAAGAAGGTAATGCTGTTTTTTCTCTTCTTATTTATGGAAGCTAGATCCAAGAAGATGATGTATTTTTTTGTCTTGTTTTTGTTTCACAGGGGATGCCTTTTAGGTCGTCTCACGATGTTGTTGGGAAACTAGTTGGTGTTTGTGTCTCAAGAGGCTGTGAACTTCAGAACTTAAGTCTTGAAGAGATGAAGAAACTGAGCCCTGTGTTTGAAGAAGATGTGTTTGGTTTTTTGGGAGTGGAAAATTCAGTTAATAAGTTCAGTTCATACGGGTCAACTGGATCCAACTGTGTTTCTGAGCAACTTGGATACTGGGTCAACAAGCTGAAGATTACTACCACATGAGTTTTAACCAAACCATCAGGCTAATTATTGCAGCGGTTTGAAGAAGACAAATAAACATATTGAAGTTTTGTTTAAGATTTTTAGTACCTGAGATGGAGACTACTTAATCACTTAGAAACTTTGTAGACTTCGAATTTTGTTGGGATTATGATAAGCCAATTATTGTTCAAACTTCCAACATAAGAAACTAGAGAACTAAAATGAAATGAACTTTGCACTTGAGTACAGTGTTACATCTTAGTGTTTTGTTTGTAGTTTCCACACCATTTAAATGAAGCAACATTTATTGCTTTCAGCTGATTAATATGGGCCCATACTAACGGTTTCCATTCCACAATTAGTTGGGGCATTATGTAACGAAACAAGTTTGTTGTTTTGAGAAGACGTCATTACATTTTAAAACGTCAATTTTAATTGTTAATTTCCTTTACAAAAATATGAACAATCAGTTCCCAACTTCCCAGTGTTCTTTTGTTTGTAATTTCCACACCATTTAAATGAAGCAACATTTAATGTTTTCAGCTGATTAATAAAGGCCCAAATTAACGGTTGGGCATTAAGTAATGAAACGAGTTAGTGTTTGTGAGAAGTAACCAGATTTTAAATATTAAAAACGTCAATTTTAGTTGTTAATTTTCTTATAAAATAATATGAACACAGAGAATAATAGGTTTCGACAATTTTCATCTTCGATACAAAATCGAAACATTCATAAATGAAATCGAATAAACAAAGAAATTTAATCATTAAGAGATTAATATCATTGTTATGATTAAACGAGCTGTCGAAAGTTTAAACAAAAGGGAAAGAATCCGAACAAAAACTAATAATAATAATACATAATCTAAAATCAAACATTCTTAAGCACGTTCACCACGAATCCTCCTAGCCAATTGAATATCCTTAGGCATAATCGTAACCCTCTTAGCGTGAATCGCGCAGAGATTAGTATCCTCGAACAAACCAACAAGGTACGCCTCAGCCGCCTCCTGGAGAGCCAACACCGCGTGGCTCTGGAACCTCAGATCCGTCTTAAAGTCCTGAGCGATCTCACGAACCAGACGCTGGAACGGGAGTTTACGGATCAACAGCTCCGTGCTCTTCTGGTACTTACGAATCTCACGAAGTGCCACCGTTCCGGGACGGTAACGGTGAGGCTTCTTGACTCCTCCTGTGGTCGGTGCAGATTTTCTCGCCGCCTGTAAGGAAATTAGGTTAGAGAAGTGAATCGTAAACACGAAATTGATAACCCTAAGAACGCTATTTCACATCGAATTTATCAAATTCGAAACCGTAACACATTGAATTGATGAAAAAAGTAACAAAAAATCAAGAACCCTAAATTGAGTTTTTCACCCCCAAATTGAAAACCCTAGATCCCCTTTAGGCGTATTGATAACCCTAAGAACGCTATTTCACATCGAAATTATCAAATTGGAAAGCGTAACACATCGAATTGATCAAAAAAGCAACAAAAAATTAAAAACCCTAAATTGAGTTATTCACCCCCAAATTGAAAACCCTAGACCCCCTTTTGGAGTATTGAGATAAAGAAACAAACCTTGGTGGCGAGCTGCTTCCTGGGGGCTTTTCCTCCGGTGGACTTTCTAGCGGTTTGCTTCGTACGAGCCATTGTCTTTTCTCGATTGATGGAATTGCAGAGAAGCGAGATTTGTTTTTTTGATGTGAAAGAAGGGTAAAGGTTATTGTTGTGTATATATAGTGGGTGTGAAGTCGGTTAATTTGGGAAGAAATAGAAACTGTACGATCGGGTTACTTTCGACGGTTTAGATCGGAGTAATGATTGAGTATTACTGACGTGGCGATCTGCGTATTTGCTTCTTGTTGGTTTATATTGTTAAGTGGATCGGTGACGTGGAGTTTTGTGTTTCTTTACATGTGATGACGGTTTTGATTTGAATCATTCGTTGGTGAATAGTGATTGGAGATTGATAATAGGCCGAGCCGTGTTTCTTGACCTTCACTGTGTTTTGTAAACAGTGGAGAAGTTGGGTTCAGGCCCAATTAAAAGGACAGTTGTAGAACTTTTTCTCACTATCATGACATCCAAAGCTAAGTTTGATCAAATCTAACCCCAATTTGGTCTGACCAAACAACATGCACTTGGCTTGACCCACATTTATTAATTAGAATCCATGTTTTGTAAAAGACATTATAAGGCATATGATTAGATGATGGATCATGTGTTCATCACTTCAATCAACCCATATAGTTTAACATGAGTATGATGTATGCTTCAAATAACCTTTTCTTATATCCAGCACTACTAACATGTTAATACATAGTACATGATATATCTCATATTCAATATGAAGACTTTGATTAAAAATCAAACAAGATGATAAATATAAAGAGAGGCATAACTCTCTTTTTCATGTCTTTTGAATCCTAGGGTGGTGTTTTAACTTTGAAGTCCTTTCCACAGACTTGTCTTTTGTTCCAACTCTCCTTTGCCATATCAGCACATGCTCTTATTTCCCTACCATATACTCCACTTTTTATTAAACTTGACACTTCTTTATCTAACCACCATTATTGATTTATTAGAATACTAAGTATGAACAATAAACACTAACCAAATTATATATTCTCTAATGGCGGCTAGTTATCATTTTTTCCTTGAAAGGTTCATTAGCGTATTATAATATTTAGAAACCTTGGATTTTATAGGAACCAATCAACAACTGTAAATTTCACATGTCGAATCCATTATCTATTGTGGATATCAACACATCCAATGTATCAAGAAGAAAAAAACATACAAGATCTTTGATGTTCCTCCTCCTCTAAGAATCGCATCTAATCTTCCTTTAACAAAATAATTATCACTAATCTCCAGAATAATTAATCTAATCCATAATCACTCACACATACATTCCTACTTAATCATGTTACATCCCACGCAAGCCGCCAAAAGTAAGAACCAAGGTAGCAATATCGTAATTATATAGGCTAACTAAGGGCATTATGTTACTGTCTTTACTATATAAACATCGTCCCTCCAAAATCTCAAATCCATCAGCATCAAAATCCTTTTTATATCTACTCTCTTCGAAAACGCTAATCGGAAAAAATGGCTGGAGGCATCGGAAAATGCAGCAAGATACGGCACATTGTGAAGCTGAGACAGCTGCTCCGACAATGGCGGAGCAAAGCGCGACTGTCGTCTCTCAGACGCACTGTGCCGTCCGATGTCCCATCAGGGTACGTGGCAGTCCACGTTGGAACCAGTTGCAGGAGATTTGTGGTGCGTGCCTCGCATCTGAACCACCCCATCATCAAGAGTCTCTTGGCCAAAGCGGAAGATGAGTTCGGGTTTGCGAATAAGGGTCCGTTGGTTATCCCATGTGAAGAGTCGGTTTTTGAGGAATCTATTCGGTTAATAAACCGGTCGTGTCGGTTCACTTGTACCGATGATGTAAAGAAGAACCGTCACGGTGGCACTAGGAGCAAGCTGGATCGTTTGATTGAGTCTCGGCCGTTGCTTCACAGTGTCTCCGAGAAGACTTTCATTTGGTGACCATTTGATCCCGTTTTGAATCGGGTCCTTGGTGTCGGATACGCAGGAGATGGCCGTGAGCTGGATGTTTCGTCCAACGTAAGTCGTCCCGTGTTTCGAATCATGGTTCAAGAAAAAAATCATTGTCGTGATTTGTTATTGGCTGCAAAACTGATTTAGCAAAATTTTAATTACATTTATTTATTCATTTGTTATTTAATTTTAATATTGGCTGTAGAATATTTCAGTAATATCCATTATATTTATTTGTTCATGATTATTCTCCCATTTTAAACCTTTCCAAATGGTTATTGTTGTCTAACAATGAAAATGTATAAGATTGGAGAGCCTTGGTAGTCAAACCAATCAGTATTAAGCATTTTGACTTTAAGCAGTTTTTTATCATTTTTATATGGACATAATTCTACTCGGCTTTGATTGCAGTCTCTCACAATATCATATGTATAAATACAACTGGATAAACCGATCTGTAAGACCACCTCCAACGGGTAAAATACAAGAATTTTTAGCCCAAAAAAAATGATTATAAAATAATGTAGGTCTCATATTTTTTGGTTTTGGTGTCAACAAAAACTCTTAGAGCATCCACAATGGTGTACTCCATTGTGGAGTCTTTAGCCATTAATTAATCATTTTTTCTTTCTTTCTAATAGTTAAGGACTCTAAACAAAAAAAACAATCCAATGGTGGACTCTATTTTGGGGTCCTTAAGAAAAAAAATTTGTTAAAAATGAGAAATTGAGGAATTGGCCAAATGAATTCTGATCAGCAAGATTCGTAGTGTTATTATCATACTATTCTACCATAGTAGGAATTGGCCAAATGAATATCTGAACTCAGAGATTCATGTTATAAAATAAGATGCAGTTAGTTTACCTTCAAGTGTGCGTTGTGGCGCTTGCCTTCTTTCCAGCGGCGGATGGTAACATCATTAAGTGGCTTTAAACCTGTCTTTGTATGACCTAAATTCAACAAAAATAAAAATACTTGTTAAGTGAAACACACAAATACACAAATACTTAAAATCACTATGATGATGATATATAAAAGACAGGTTTAAGCCACTAAGATCCACACATGCTGCATCAGCATGTATCTTCAACCTCGTCCTGCATAAAACAAACAAAAATGCAAGCCATAAGGGTAACTCCACCTGCAAGTCAAAGAAGACTACTACAGAGTTAGTCTCAGAACTTGGATCAACACTAACTCCATTTACTGCTTTATGGAATAACACTGACGCAAACTGCAATTAAGAAAACAACAACATTAAGTTTGATGCTCCAGACAAGTTTCCTCGGACCACAGACCATGAAGTTGTTGGTTCTAGTTGAACCTGAAACCTCAACATTGTTGAGCCTGCCTCTTTAGTATATTAAGGTTAATCAATAATGGTAATGCTGCTATTATATCAACAAAATTATCACCTTTGCATATGGGTTGACTTGGGACTTTCTTCAACATTGTGTACACCGGCCGGTTAGGCGGATGACCCTTCACCTTGATAACACATCCCCTTTGGATTTCTTTAGCTTAATTACTCCATTATCTGAGATAGCAAACGAGTAATTGAGTAATTATTAATCACTTTTATCAAATTCGTCAAGAATCCCCTTACAGAAATCACAATCAACATCCCAATAAACAACAGGGAAATATACTGAAAACAAGAATGAAAGAAAGAAAGAAATAGGGTTAGAACATAGTTTTACAATCCAGCAAACCATATGCAGAGAAACTGAGAAGTTGGCATATAATTCTGATAAAATTAGGTCATATAACTAGAGGGAGCGTAGGAAGGAGCAGAGTGAAACCAGAACTCGGCGGATTGAGACTCATCCGGTGACACACCCGACCTGGAAACACTTGCTGGTATAGCAGTTACTGGAAGCTAAAAACCCTTTAAGACTAGAATCAAATTCGATTGAAGAAGAAGATTAATCAGAAAAGAGAGAGAGAGATGCGGAGAGAGAAGGAGGAAGACGACGAAGCACACAGCCACGTCAACAAGGACTTCACGTTTCGGATCCTTGCAGACGGACTCCACCGTACAAGTCCTTGTATTTTTTCAGCCCAAATCCATTTATTTTAAATCGAAAAAGCTAAGGATTCGGCCCACGGACCTCCGTTGCGGCTGGTCTTACAGTCCTTTGGTAAGGATCAATTTTCTGGCAGGTACGTTACTGTACGTAGGTCCCACCGCTATTTGAGAATCTGCGATTAATTTCTTTTTTTCTTGTTTTTAAACTAAAAAAGGAATAAAATAGAAAAAAATTACCTTGGTTATCGAGCAAGGGGAGTACCAGCATTACTGATGTTCTAATATCAAGTAAACGGATCTCCCAACTAAATTAGTCTTTACAAGATGATCTAATAATTTGGCCCGAAGGGAACTTGTAGTTTCTTCTAAGCAGCATCTTATATTATATAGCTACAAAAATTGTGCTACTTTGCAACCCCACAACACTAAACATGTTTCATGCAATTAAGTCTCAAATTTCCATTGAGAGCAATCGGATCTATCCGGCGCCAGTGGCCAAACCCTCGAAAAACTAGACGGATTCAAACCGCTGGATATGCCCGAGTTATAAAAAAAGGAATTGTGCTACAGAACTTTTCTTTGCATTGTATTGCAAATATATTAGAAGTTATGAAACAGAACAGGACAAATGAATATTGGGTTAAAAAAATAAAAAGTAGGTCAAGATGAATCGAGTTGGACCATCAAGATTAGATCTCAATTATGGCTAGCCACCCCAATATTGGATGTCAACCATTCAATGGTAACAATAGAATTATCGATGTTTAGGCCGTCAGAACTATGCATGCAGGTCCGGGTACCTCATGCTATTCGACTTGAGTTGTTTGATTTTTGGTTAGTTTGGTTTGACATGAATCTTATTGAGTTAATCAAAAATAAAGTTTTCCGATTTGATTTAGTATTTGGTTAGTTTCATTTTGAAAATTTAAATTTTATCAATTTTTTTAATCTCAGTTAGATTTTGGTTTAATTATGTTAAATGTTTTGATAAATTTAGTTTAATATAGTTAGTTCTGTTGGTGTTTTATATGATTTGGTTAAACTGTAATTTTTAATTGTCAAAATATGATTTTTTATTTTTATTAAATCTAACTAACTTTCTGACCGAACTAACTAAATATTTCGGTCCAGTGTGGTTCGGATAAAAATCCCAGATCTAATAGGAACAGTTGATCTGGAAAAGTCTGCGTATTCGTACATCATAATTTGTGCTTATATCACATTGTACATCTGCTATAAATGAATGATAAAAAAAACAATTTAACATAAATGATAAAATAATTGTTAGAGCATCCGCAACAGAGATCATTAAGAGAAAATTCCTTGAAAAAAATAATTAAATAATCAGTGGATGCTACCAAAAACTAAGGATTCAATCATTAAAATTTCTAAATAAATATTTTTTTAGCGAATCTTTGCACTATTTGCGGGATTTCACGACACGTGGCGACTCACAATTGATTGGTATCTTTTTATTATTATTATTATCTAAAAAAGAAAAAAAAATAATTAAAAAATCAAAAACTAATAATAAAAAATCAAAAACTAAAAAACCTATAGATAACACCATTGTGGATGTTCATGGTATCGTAAACATATGGGAAAAACGAGGGGACCAAAGCGAGAAGAAGAGAAGGGAAGACACTGGCCCCGATAATTCACATGTTAACGTTGGAACTTTGTCGGGAAAACATGAAAATGATGATATATTAAGAGTGCTTCGCTCTTTTTTCCCTACCCTAAGCGCGTCACGCATCAATGCTGCGCATTGTTCCAAAGCTATAATCTGATTAACATCCAAACCGACTGGAGCAGCCAACATGTAACAACATGTTACAACTAATACAACAAGACACCGTTATCAAATATCAACCTTTTTCCACAGTATATACGAAAAAGAGAGATGCGAAAATTGAATTTATAAAAAAAAAACTTCAGTATTCCGTGGTTTAGAGTGGGTAGATAAAACGTTAAAAACATTAAACTTCTAAAATATTGTTTAACCGCAACAGTATATTTCCTTTTTAATATTTTCCCCCAAATAACCTCACTTGATCCACGCGTAAACCAACAAAGAGAACCCAAGACCATCGCCAGAACCTAAACCAGAAGATCCTCCTCCACCGTACTCCGACTCATCAGCACTACTAGCCCACTCCAAAACCGATGAGCTACAAGCCGACGAAGCAGAAGACATCGAAATCGATATCGAAGAAGAAGAACTCCTCTTACTCTTAACGAATCTCCTCCTCATCTTCCTCCATTCCACCATCCCTCTAAACCCCAAACTACTCCCACACTTCTTCGGCTTCCACAAAACGACCTCGTTTCCGTTTCCCTCCTCTCCCTCTTGATCATTCTCGAACCTAAACATAAAAACAGCGTGTCCACCACTCTTACTCTGAAACAGCCAATTATAAACATCCCACGAGATCTGAACAGAGACACCATCGATCTCTACTCTCTCATTCCCTCTGAACTTCCATCTCAACCGCTTGATCTGCAAAACCTCCTCCGAATCGAAGCTGAAACTGAGCCTCGCGTCTTTGTCTACACGACAATCTATCGTAACATCCCTGTTCTTACCACCAAACCTCGTTTTCGTGGAGAACACTCTATCTCCGAACACGTGTTCTTTCCTCATCACCAGAGCTTGTGGACTCGTCGGCTGTTTCGCTGACTTCGCACGAGCGTACGCCTCTTTGACGGAATCTCCGACTAATAGTACCATCTCTCCGTGGAGGATAACGGCGAGGTAGAATCCGGATCTTGGTTCGGATCCGGATTCGAATTTGGCGCGGGAAAAGTCCCAGAGGAGTTTGATTGTGCGGGAGATGGATTTGGATCCGCGTTTTCTCCAGAAGGTTAATGTGTTTAAGTTGAGGTGGAAGGAGATGGTGGAGGAGAGGGAGAGAGGGGAAGAGTGGTTGTAGTAGTCTTGAGAGTGGAGGAAGAGGCTTAGAGAGTGGCCTCCTAAGAATGTGCGAGACCATGTGAGAGAGAACACGCCGTGTTCTGTTTGGTAAAGACAAGTTGTGAGGTTTGGATGACAGGGGAGTATTGGAGACGACGGAGGTGGAGGGTGGTTATGATCGGAGGGAGACATTTGTGTGTTTCCGTTTTTTTAGGAAGTTATGGTTTTGCTCTTTATTTTCTTTTATTTATATAAAAAAGGTTTTGTTTAGATCATGAAAATGGAATGGTGATAATGATGTTTGGCTTGAAACACACGTAACCAAAAAAATGGATGCAGGTTGCCAAATAGGAAAAAAAAATAAAAATTTGCATGGATATATGATAGAGACATCAGATGAGAATTATAAGAAACGAAACTTGGAACTTGCAACTTGTAAACTTAGACAGTAACTGACTTTGACTTTTTTAAGGGATAATGAAATCAGATAATAATAATACACATATCATCCTCTTTTCGGTCGTGTGTAGTACACATATTCATCATAGTAACATCTACTGATATAATTGTATAACACATAGTATTGTCTTTTCAGTATATAAAAGTTAAGCAGTAAAAAGGCATGTGTTGTATGTAAATTTTAGGGTCCCTAAACTTTGAACAAAAAAGGGTCCCTAAACATTGCTTTGCTTAACAGTTGGAGTATGAGGAACATGATATGATTAACTGCCTGCACACTTGACACATCATATTGGAGAACATAATCAATATGGTGTCCACTATAGAACTCAAACGATTATCCTTTTTCAAAATACCAAATTGTAGTTCATATCTGGGATTAATAATTAATGCTCACTGTGTTTGATACTGGATTTATTTACATCTAGGTATGTGTAACTCTCAAATTGGTAGATATAATAATATTGACAAATAATTAGACTTTTAATCTTATGTCGTCTTTTAGTTCACATTAGTGTGATCTCTCTTCTCTGATTGCTAGTTCGGAGGGCAATTCTATGATAATCTCTTCGGCTGCGGGGTGGACAAACAAAAATAATTGGCTTGGTCGTATTTTATTGATATCTCGAGTTATCTGGATAAGTTGGCAGACAGCTAAAAAGAGGTGGATAAGTACATTACTATTAATTTGATATTCGGTTAGTTCTTGGAAAAAAATCTGTATATCTGTATTAATAATGTGCTTAGATCTGTATATGCTAATTATCTTATATAATAACATGTGTTCTGAAACTTCAACTTCAAGAAATGTTTAACTGTACTGATCAGACAGCTAAACCTCTTTAGAGCATCCCCATTTGTGAACCCCCTTATGGGGTTCATAGGGATTTTTTATTATTTTTTGGTGGGGTCGTGAATAGTGATGAACCCGGATTAATTATGCGCTTCCATTAGTGAATCCGAAATCCGGGTTCTTAGGAATAAAATAATAATTTTTTTTTAAAAAAAAAAATTAATAAAAAAAAATATTGAAAAATAATAACTGAAAATTGATTTTAAAAGGTTTTATTGAATACATTGGGAATACATTAATATTTAAAACAAGTTATTGAATACATAGAGAAATTGGAAACATACACTTATTATTCATCTCGATTACCAAATTTTTGCCACACATTTTCAACCAAATCTGCTTTCAAACGAGCATGTATTTGTGCATCCCGAATTTGGTTCCGAGTTGTAAGCATATTACCGATATACAAACTTGTTGTCCTTTCCACTTGGGAACTTCTGCTTGACTCTCCTGTCTCGAACTCAGATGTATCATACAGTGTGTATGAGTGTCGTTCGTCCTCTACTATCATATTGTGCAGTATGATACAACATCTCATAATATTTCCCAACTTTTCCTTGCTCCATAGTAGACCCGGGTTTTTAACTATTGCAAACCGTGCTTGCAATACTCCAAAAGCCCGCTCGACATCTTTTCTGGTGGATTCTTGACGTTCAGCAAAAAGCTCGGCTTTAGGACCTTGAGGAAGTGGGATGGATTGAATAAATGTTGACCATTTCGGATAAATTCCGTCGGTAAGGTAGTAGGCCATACGATAATTGTGGTTGTTAACCTTGAAATTCACTTTAGGAGCTCGGCCGTGTAAAAGGTCATCAAAAATCGGTGACCGATCAAGAACATTAATATCATTGAGGGTACCTGGTAATCCGAAAAAAGCGTGCCAAATCCAAAGATCATGTGATGCGACGGCCTCTAAGACAATTGTCGGTTTTGATGAACCACGGGTGTATTGGCCTCTCCAAGCCGTTGGACAGTTTTTCCACTCCCAATGCATACAGTCGATGCTGCCTATCATCCCTGGAAACCCCCGTACCTCGCTAACATCGAGTAATCGCTCTAGATCATCCGCTGTAGGTCTTCTCAGGTACTCATCTCCAAACAATTGTATTATCCCATTAGTGAAATGTTCCAAACATAAAAGTGCGGTACTTTCAGCTAGGCGAAGATATTCGTCATACGTATCTCCAGATTGCCCATATGCGAGCATACGTATAGCTGAAGTACTTTTTTGTAGTGCAGAAAGACCGTACCTTCCGTGAGCATTTCTTCTTTGCTTAAAGTATGGAACTTCATTATTTAGGCGATTGACAATGCGAAGGAACAATGGCTTGTTCATACGAAAACGTCTTCTAAACATTTGTGGTGTGTAAGTAGGTTGTTCGCTGAAATAGTCGTTCCATAGTTGATGGTGTCCTTGTTCTCGATGCCTTTCGATATAAGCTCGTCGCCTGGGCATGTTGGCTTGAACATTAACAACCGATTCGAAAAGTTCATCAACTTGTTCGTCGAACATTTCTTCGAACTCTTCGCTTAACCTTTCATCAACTTCATCTGAGGATGAGGAAGACATTGTTTGATATGATCCTGTAGAGAATACATTGTACTTATTATTAGAATTTTTTAGTGATCAAATTAGATTGTTGTTTATACTTATAATAAAAAAAAAAGAGTAAAATGTTTTTAAAAAAAACAGAGACATTATTGGTTTGTTTGTTTTTTTTTAAAAAAACCAAGTACAATGTTTAAAAACAAGAGACAATGTTTTTAATAATATTAACAACACATTATTGGTTTGGTTTGTTTTTATTTTAAAAAACCAAGTACATTGTTTTTTAAAAAACCAGAGACAATGTTTTTTTATAAAAAAAGAAGATTTAGTGATTAAATTAGATTGTCGTTTATACCTATAATTAAAAAAACTAGACAAAACGAGAACAATGTTTTTTTAAAAACAAGAGACAATGTTTTTAATAATATTAACAACACATTATTGGTTTGTTTGTTTTTATTTTTAAAAACCAAGTACATAGTTTAAAAAAAAAAGAGAGAGGTAGAGAGCAAAACTTGGTTTGGTTTGTTTGTCTCGGCCGAGAGAGTGTTGGAGTTGTCGGTTTGGCCGATAGAGAGTGTATGCGTTGTTGGTTTGGAGTTGATGTATAACTTGGTTTTAATAAGTCTTGTTGGTCTGAGATTTGTGTGTGTTTGTTAAGAGAAGGAGAAAGAATGATGAAGAGAGAAAGAATGATGAAGAGAGGAAGAAGTTATTCGAGAGAGTAGAATAGATGGTAACTTTATAACACAAGAGAAGCAATATATATAGTGCAACATACAAATCTCCATGTAGAATGATACAAAATACTACACCCCGTGACCTGTTACTACAACCCGTGAACTGCTACAACAAGATCAGAAACAAACAAGTGCAGTATGGTACAAAACACTACAACCCGTGACACAAAGTTAAAACTAGAAGACAACCAAGTGCAGTATGGGACAAAACACTACACTTCCGTGACAGAAATCTTAAACCCGTGACCTGCACCACCCAACCTCCTCCTGCTACTACAACCCGTGACCTGCAACAAACACAACCCAACAATTAGCAAATACAAACATAACAAAACAATGACCAAATATAAACAACCGAGTTAGCTTAACAACCAAGATAATAATCCTAAACAACCGAGTTAACTAAACAACCAAGACATGTACCTAAACAGATAAGTAAGATATAGCAAATATAAACAACCGAGTTAGCTTAACAACCAAGATAATAATCCTACTAAATAGAGAACCAAGATTTTACTAACCAACTCAAACCATTTCACTCATCAGTTTGTTTTTCAAACACTCCTCGACCTCAGATAACGGTTCCCTTTTAGCAAGTAGTCGTTCCACTAGTTTACGTTTAGAAATATTATCTTTGACCATCAAGAGAGCCTCTAAATGATCAAAAGCTGCTTCCTTGCCATGCTTCTTATGTTTGGCGGCTTTGGCAGCCTTGACACCAGCTGGCCTAACCTCCTCCGCCTCAGGATCCACGTCAAGGTCAACAGTTTCCTTCCTCTTCTCCTTCCCAGCTTGTGAGGGCAACAATGTTGAGCGCCACTTCTGTTCGAACCTGAGTGCCCTCCACGCGTGTTCGAGGATGAACCTTCCTCCGTGGTCATTTGTGAAGATGGTATGAGCTGCCTCCATGAGATCATCTTCGTTTCTGCCACTTCCGTGCTCCTTCACAGCCGCGTCGTAGCAACCAACAAACTTCGAGACCTGCTCATTCAGCCTACCCCACCTCTGCTTACATTGACTCTGCTCTCTAGGAGCAGAGCCACTGAGATGAGTGCTTTCGTTGAAATACGCATCTATCCTTTTCCAAAAGGCTCTTCCCTTCTGCTCGTTACCAATTATCGGATCCTTGCTGGTGTTTAGCCAACCACTGATCAGCACAAGGTCCTCTCTTACACTCCACTTCCTCCTTTCGAGTGGTTTCCCTGACCCGGTGGAATTGTTACTTGCCTCACCAGACTCTAGATCTATTGTTTGACTGCTTTGTGAAGCCAAAAGGTTTACAAAGCTGGGAGAATTATGGTAAAATGGATCCATGTTTGGTTTAGGTTTTCAGGTGTTAGGTTTACGTTTTGTAAATTTTTTGAGTACATTTGATGTGTTTTTAAACTACATTTCCGTTTCAGTACGAAGAATTAATCTCCACTTCACCTACCAAGCATTCATGACTAACATAACTACAAACTTTAACACAATTATTCCTAGTACTAGGACAGCAGTAGACATCAAATCACTCAATTCAGGTTTTATGTTTAAGGCTATCACCGCAACCACCAACCACTATTTTAAAGTTCTAGTTACATTTTAAAGTTATAGTTTGTTATGA